TGAGCGCGTATTATGATGTATGCACAGGCATACATGGATTAGAGCGATAGAGGAAAGAGAAAGGGAAGAGCAAAGACGAGCGCTTAAAAAGAAGGATAGGCAGGGTCAGACCCTCAGATGTGCGACGATTCTCGAACGAATAGGTGTGTACGTGTGCTGATATTTGTAATTATAAATTGTGAATACTTGTGACTAATATTATTATTTTTTTTATTTTGTGCCTGTTATAAGTTATAAATGAATATAAACAAACAACACTAACCCGATTACATTAAATCTAAATACCAAAATGATTAATTTACTGTGTTTTTGTTATTTCTTACTCCTGTTTCTAGGTATTCAGTATTCGGCCGAATAGTGATTAAATATTCGGTATTCGGCCGAATAGTGAAAAATAGGCCGAATACCGAATAGTAACCGAATATTCGTTACATCACTAACAATTATCCTTATATTTTTATTCAAAAAATACAGTCAACTGGCATTCAAAAATTTTGATACATTTAAAATGAATGCATTTGTAAATAAATTTTCTTTAGAAAAAAGATATATCAAATATATTTACATATAAAATAAAATCTGGATTACATAGTAATGAGAAATTGATATAAAATGGTACAAAGATTAAGAGAAGCAGAAAATACTAAAATAATATGGAAGCTTTGAACTGATAGCAAAACCTGTGTAAAAAAGGTAATCATCAATAAAGAATTAGTGATGTAACGAATATTCGGTTACTATTCGGTATTCGGCCTATTTTTCGCTATTTGGCCGAATACCGAATATTTAATCACTATTCGGCCGAATACTGAATACCTAGAAACAGGAGTAAGAAATAACAAAAACACAGTAAATTAATCATTTTGGTATTTAGATTTAATGTAATCGGGTTAGTGTTGTTTGTTTATATTCATTTATAACTTATAACAGGCACAAAATAAAAAAAATAATAATATTAGTCACAAGTATTCACAATTTATAATTACAAATATCAGCACACGTACACACCTATTCGTTCGAGAATCGTTGCACACATCTGAGGGTCTGACCCTGTCTATCCTTTTTAAGTGCTCGTCTTTGCTCTTTCCTTTCTCTTTCCTCTATCTCTCTAGTCCACATATGCCTATGCATACATCATAATATGCGCTCATGATACTTTTGATTCATCACTTTTCCGTCATAGTTTTTCCATTTCATAATTATGTGACTCATAGCCTGGTGATAATGGAGAAAAGAGACATATAGAATGTCAGTATATGTCACAGTTATGATTTCACAGATTCGAGACAGCTTGGTAGCCCGAACAACCCCAGGCTTTCGCCCGTGCATGCTAAGTGACTTTCATTACAAGCATTTAGCTTTCCGAAGTCTATGACAGCAATTGTTTGGCATTGATGCTGCAAATTTCGCACCAATAAGCTGCTTTGACTTGTTTGATTATGTTATCTACTCAATTTCATATTTATTTTCACATTTTTACTTCGCAGTCCTTCTCTGTTCTTTTTCCGTTATTTACATGTGTAGGTCATTTCATTGTTATCCACATTTGATATCATCATTTATCACATACTGCCATGATGCTCATGTCTGTCGGCTACAACTGTCAAGAATTAACGTGATTGGCAAATTGTAGTGTCAGAGGGCCAATAGAGAGCAGGGACCTTGCCATAATGCGGTTTGCACACCAATTTTCGTACATGCGTTAATCGAGCCGAATAGTTTGGCTGAATATTCGGTATTCGGCCTGAGGCCGAATATACTATTCGTTGCAACACTAATAAAGATAGAAAAACATGAAAAAATTTAAACAACTTGCAGAGATGTCTGTAAAAAGAAATTTAAATGATAATGGTTAGTGAGCGCTAAGATTGGCTTTACTTTACTTCTAGACTTATTACACCACCACAGGACATCAAATTAGATTTAGAAAAACACTATTTTATTTTCAGAATGCATTTCGGACATAGAGTCCCTCATCAGCTATTTGCTACAAAATTAATAGGAGGTTAACAATTTTATAAAAAGGCCGTGATTGACAGAAATGAACAAAAATGTGGACACATTTGACATGTGGATTCGACGCGTTGAACATTAATTAAAAGATTAAGCATACGATATACAAGATTTCTCGTTAAAAACGGTAATGTTGGTGCAATAACGTAATAATAAGAGAGTTTAGAGGTTCTGGTAAAACAGTAAAGTTATAAAAATATACATTGTTAACAAAATGATAAGTAAATTCACAGTAACACGAACAGAGTAACAAGATGATTCGAAGTACATTCCAGGGTGACTGTCACCCTCACCCCTATCCGTTTTCACACCTCTTCCCTCCCCCAAGCCTCCTCTGGTCAAATATGCGTACCACGATTCGTGTAATTTTTGGTCAGAGTTGTTATTCATGATTTTCTCTTTGTTTTTAATTATTTCTAAGTGTTCGTAAATAATTATTTTGTCAGCCAAAAAAGATTCTTTAAACAATGCGATGGTATCCCCATGGGCTCAATAATAGGACCAATCCTTGCTGAATTAAGTACGTACAATATTGATCATGACGTTGTCAATATCAAGGGTATAATAGAACTGTACCGTTACGTCGACTGTTTTCTCATATATGATGACAACATCATACAGGCAGACAAAATCCTGGAACACATAAATAAAATAGATAACGACATTAAATTTGACTTAGAACCTGAAAGCAACTGTCAGTTACCATTCTTAGACATTCTCGTCACGAGACACAAAGACAAAACAACCTTTAAAAAATATAAAAAACCTTGTACTATTGACAGCGTCATACACTTTACATCTGAAGTACCAACTTATATAAAAAAGAATACTTTCTACATGTACTTGGATAAAATTATGCAACGTACCACATATGATACCGATATATCCAATGAAACTGAAGACATCATAAAAACGTACTTATTGAACGGTTATAGCAAGCGCATGATTAGTAACTGGCTTAATAAAAAATATGTTAATGCACACAAACAACCAATTGACAAAACTGCTTATAAATTCCTTACGTTACAAATATTTTTGAAAGAATCAAAAGTAAATTAGTTAAGTATAATATTATTCTAATACCCGAACATCGCAACAGCTTACATAAGGAAATAAACGTACCTAACAGGAAAGCTAACATATGGGACCAAAAAAACGTTGTTTACAAATTTGAGTGCGACTGTACCACACCCAAATCTTACATTGGTGAAACTAGTAGGGAATTAAAGGTCCGTTTCAATGAACATATCTCTGCCATAGCACACAACAATGATAGCTCGGCTGTAGCCGCCCACTGTAATAATGAAGGCTGTCAGATTGTAAAGGATACTGTCAAAATACTTAGAAAGGAACCAAATACTTATAAAAGAAGATGGTACGAACACTTAGAAATAATTAAAAACAAAGAGAAAATCATGAATAATAACTCTGGCCAAAAATTACATGAATCGTGGTACGCATATTTGACCAGAGGAGGCGTGGGGGGAGGGGAGAGGTGTGAAAACGGATAGGGGTGAGGGTGACAGTCACCCTGGAATGTACTTCGAATCGTCTTCTTACTCTGTTCGTGTTACTGTGAATTTACTTATCATTTTGTTAACAATGTATATTTTTATAACTTTACTGTTTTACCAGTACCTCTGTTTATTATTACGTTATTGCACCAACATTACCGTTTTTAACGAGAAATCTTGTATATCGTATGCTTAATCTTTTAATTAATGTTCAACGCGTCGAATCCACATGTCAAATGTAAGTCCACATTTTTGTTCATTTCTGTCAATCACGGCCTTTTTATAAAATTGTTAACCTCCTATTAATTTTGTAGCAAATAGCTGATGAGGGACTCTATGTCCGAAATGCATTCTGAAAATAAAATAGTGTTTTTCTAAATCTAATTTGATGTCCTGTGGTGGTGTAATAAGTCTAGAAGTAAAGTAAAGCCAATCTTAGCGCTCACTAACCATTGAGAAGACTAGACAAGAAGCATATCATAGTATTCATTAAATGATAATGTTTATCAAATGATAAGATTTAATTGGGAAATTGTTGCATTTTAAATTTTTAGCCTTTAATGGATATCAAATATATACTGTACGTATATTTTTTAATGTTTAGATTATATCTAACATATGTTTAGAACATTTTCCCATTTTTAACTTTTTTTTTGGACTTTTCCTATCCTGTGGGGATTAAGAGGGTCTTTTTTCAAGCTTTGGTTTGGCCAGGCCCACAATAGGGCAACCAAGATAGTAAGGGACAAAGCCTGACATTTTCAGGATAGGCCATCAATGAAAAATTCTTGGTGTTTTTTAAGTGCTCAGATTTAATCCCCGATTTCCCAGAGTGGTAGGTTAATGCCTTGTCTATCTTGGCCATCCAATCAGCATTTTTAATTTTAATTGTAGAGTACTACTTCAAATTTCTGAAATTTTATGTTTGTGAAAACCTGAAGCTAGTCAAAATAGTTATTATCCATAAAAACAAAATAGTTGTTTTTACTGATAATAACTTAGAATTAGGAAAATAATAGACTTACCAGTTTATCATTTAAGGTGCTATAATTTCTTAACCCATAGAATGATATATATGATATTGGATCATCAACTGCAAAAATATATGTTTATATATATATATAAATTTACATTTATTATGTAATAACAAAGTATGTTTATAAATTGATTTGTTTCTGTTCTTACTTTCTGTCGACAGCCTTTGAATTAATGAACCTGGACCTCGACAGATTGATGCATAATTCCAATGAGTTATTGCTTGGATGGCTGTCCCAGTAGTAGTGCCAATTTCACCTTCAAAAGCTGGTAATAATGGCATTACAACATACACTCTGAATGTTTCGTTATTCCTAAAAACATAAAATTATCTTTACCATTAAAATAATTGATATTAATTTATTTGTAATTAGGGAAATTTTACTTATGTGCTTTCATAATTCGATGATATAAGGCTTCTCCAATTTCATTGAAAACATCCTTATGTCCAGCAGCTTGTGTAATGAAAAATTGATTCTAATGGAGGTAGTGCATGGTGATGACTGATTCTTTTACATTTAAAGTTAGATAAAATTAAGTAATTTAAATTTAAAATCTTACCTCAATATAAATAAAATGTTTTGCATTATTGATTAAATTTACATAAGCAGAATGAATCGACCTTTCTGTTGTTCTGATGCCTGCAGACCAAGTCGAGACACTACGAAGGATCTGAAAAAATAAACATATTAATTTTGACATAATTTTGGTGTCATCTTTATTTGGTCTTACCTGGCAGTTTGTAGTGTAAAGTATACCAACTGAACTCAATGGTAATGGGGGAATGTTTGTGACATTTTCATAATTTTTTGGCAAAAGATAAGGATAAGCATCATAATTTTTGGCCTTCTCCAACTAGATGAAATAAATTATCTTAAGTGACTAATCTTTATTATATTTATTATGATTATTTTAGTATATTAACTTTTGTGAAGTTCCATCTTTGGATGAAATGACGGGCAACATCTCTAGCTGCACTTCCCTGTACTAAAACACCAATATCGTGCCAAGGCATTCGTGGTGTAACGGTACGATCGACAAGATCTAAAGAAATAATTCAGATGATACATGACTAAATTGATAAGATGATAATGATCAGATGATCATTAATTTTAATTATAAAATATCACTGTGATATTTTAAGAATTCACATCATAAAATTATAAAAAAATTTTATTTTTGATAATTAAATTATGTAATTTTATTTATAAGAAAAACTTTATATATTAAATGTTTTGTCAAATACCTATACTATTTTTAAATATATTTATATCTGGTTGCTTATGTGAGAACCTGGGTTAAATAGAAAAAATTTAATCAAAAGAAAATAAGTTCTAATATTTATGTATATAAAAAAAATTTTTTTCTCTCAACTAAGATATCAGGAAGTGATTCTATTGCACACGGACTTGCTTCCTTGTCCAGAGATGACACATCTGAATGTATCACTTTCGACTATGTATCAGGTACCTAACATCAAAAATCGTTATTGGATTAGCCAACCAATATTACCAAAAATGGACATGGAACTCTGGGAAAATCCCCCTAAGAAAAGGAAAAATCACTGATTATAACAGAGTTTGTTACCCGCCTCATCGTGAACCAAAGGGATTCTGCCATGCTCTGCCATTATCCTGTTCTGCACTGCCGATAGCCACCAAGGATATTATTACCTATTACCAGACCTAGTGTCTAACCTATATATTCCAGATGGATCTACAAATACCTACCTATCACCAACCTGCAAGTGCCCAACTTTCCTACTACCAGACAGTTCCTCATCGAACTGCCTAATTGAACATTCTACCCATCTGGAGCCCATCTACCTATTCTCCTTCAACCTATCTGGCCAAGCATCAATCATCAAGGATTTAAAAAACCAACAAATCCAGGTATTTATCAACTCACAATTAATTGTAAACTTGCTCTCTCTCGTATCATGTAGTCTCCTATAAAAATTCACTTTTCTGTAAATAAACAGTTATTAATATTTTAAAAGAGTTGTGGAATGCATTATTTCTGTTATCTACCTCTCGATTTCCTCCATCCCGAATCTGACCACCTACACATGCGACCACTTGTGTGAACAACAACTAATGGCCAAATGGTTTTCTGTGTTTTCCCTAAAGATGCATTGGTGTCAGTCCTGACATAGGCATCATGGACATGGTGCCAACCTTTCTGTCACACTTTATACAGGGTCTTCCAAAAAGAATTCTATCATTTTATTGTAATTATGTTAGTTATTATCTAAAAATGTTGTAATTTATATTAAAACATTGGAAAACTGTCCAAATTTTACATCTGCCCATTATAATTTCTCAATGTGCACATCTCATGTTACGCAGCACACATCCAATTGATACTCAAATTCTTCCTTTGCTCACAACAACATATCCATTGTCACTCTTTCTATAACAGCCACAATTCCATAACTCCTGCAGATTACTCATATTGCACAATGATGAATGACTCCAACTTTGTAAACTGCAAAGCACAGAATGTCTTCTCTGTTACAGAGGTATTTTCATTTACAGTGTTTCCTAAAAGTACTAGACTTTTGAATGTAGATGGGAGATAAAACTCACACAGTTACTCTATCGACTGATGTACAATGCATACTTCTCAGATAATTAACATAATTACAGTAATTTAAAACAGTAGCATTCATTTTGGAAGACGTGTACATACATATTTACATAAATATAGACTAAAAAGATAATTGTATATTACTGTGTATGATTAATAATAATTACTTCTTTCAACAAATGTATTTTTAAGCTAATTAATATATATTTTAATTTTTTTTAAAGAAAATTAAAAAATTACATTAACTTTGAAGTGTAAATGTTGATATTTTTATGACTTTTTAACAGTTTAATCTATTATATATATATATATTTGGATTTTTGAACAGCTAAATCATTAATTCTTAATTACAAGTTCAAAAATATAATGAAGTTTCAACTTCAGATCCAAATTTTAGAAAATTTAGAACTTTAAGTAAATATAACAATCTTTTAACCTATTCCAAATTAGATATTAAGATATTAATATATCCCTAGTAATGTTTTATAAGCCAAAAAGATTTTAAAAATGCTAATTTGGTATATAAATATCTTTTATAACATTATTTGTTTTTAAAATATTTATATATGTGAAATAAAATCAAAATTTATAACTAAATTTGATTAATTATTGATTTACAGTTCATAAAAATGCAATCAAATAATACAGATTCTGAATTAGAATATCAAAATATATTTTGAATACTTCTCAAAACTAACCTTGATAAGGCCTATCAAGATTCACAAAATCTTTTGTTATAAAATTTGAATAATCTTTTCCAAACCAAAGTTTACATGATCCTTGTAATCCCATCTGATTTAATGCAACTTCACTTGCAGTTCGTCGAAGTTCAAATGATGGAATTCCCAAACTGAAAATTACATATTTGGATCAGCTGTACATCATTTATATTATTATTATTATTTCATGTCTATCAATTCCATATTTTACATTAACTACCTGTCAGTTCTTGCTCCCATTCGTAAAGAGTCGATAGAATGACCTTTATGATGTAAACGATGTTTAAGTGCATGAAATCTCTAAATAAAAAATAAAATTTAAAGGTGTAAATTTTAATTTCAAATAATTATACACAGTCTTCCAAGATGAATGCTACCATTTTAAATTACTCTAATTATGTTAATTATTATCTGAGAAATATGTGATGTACACCAATCTGTAGAGTAACTATCCAAGTTTAGTCTCTCATTTGTATTTGAATGTCTTGTTGACTACTTCTCTCTCTAGGAAGAGCCATAAACAAAAATGGCAATCTGCAACAGAGAGGGTGTTTTGTGTTCTGTAGAGTACAGCTTGGAGCTTCAGGAGCTGTAGAATTGTAGATGCTGAGGGAGAAGTGACAATGGATATGTTGTATTGAGTGTAGGAAGAATTTGAGTATCAATTGGATGTGTGCCATGTAACTGAAGTGCATGCATTAAGAAATTTTAATGAGCAAATGTGAGACTTGGACAGTTTTCCAATGTTTTAATGTACATTACAATGTTCTTGAATAATAATTAACATAATTATAATAATTAAAAATGGTAGAATTCTTTTTGAAGACCCTTACAGCAACAAAAATACTTACAGCAACTGCTTGCATAACTCTCTGAGTTTTTAACTTTGTGGTGAACCTTGGCCTAGATATTGCTGATCCATCAGGAACATCCTTTTCCTTCTTTTTGTATTTATCATCTTCCTGAGTATTAAAATTATCTCCAAATGTGACATTTTTAATATCTTCATCTATTTCAATTCTTGGTGCAGTAATTGTTAAATCAAAATTTGGTAAACTTTCAGCTGAATCATGCCTATGGAGTTTGTTATAATGCATCTATTTAGAAGAGAAATATAGTTTTATAAATATATTCTATAAAATTGTTGTGTATGAAATTATTAAATAAAATCAAAATATTTTATATCAAAAGCTAATATAATTAATAATATTAAATATCTCATAAAGTAAAATTTCTTGAATAATAAAATGTTTACTTTTGAATGTTTTAAAATTATATGAAGGTATTCAATTTATATATTTTTTATTCTTGAATTAATATAAATTTAATATTCTCATATAATTCTGCTACATAAAAGCATAATAGTTGTATATTTACAAGGAAAAGTGGAGAAGTTTTGCCTCCTCCATCATATTTTTATTTTGAGTGGTGAGAACTGGATAAAACCAGTTCTGCACAGTTGCTTCTTATCTCCCCTCCACAACACATACTCTTCAATCTGTATGTATCCCAACTCCACCTCAGTGTCAGTCAAAATGGAAGGCTATACAGTTATGCAATTCAAACAACACTCCTTCTATTGACAACCATAGTTGTATGCAGAGTATATATTGTAAAAAGTACAATTAGACAATAGGTATGACAATTTAATTAAACAAATAAGAGAAGTATGAATAACAAACCAAAAGCATGAAGGTCAATGACTGCAACAGACCAGTCTTATTCCTGGAAACTCGGAACATTACATTAAAATTGTGCAAAAATTAAAAACAAAATCAGTTTGATGAAGAGAGAAACTTCCATTATGCTTCATCATGTAATGCCAGGTCTCATACAAGTGCTGCCACAACTAATTTCCAGACATTATTGTTGGTTTGGGGTTTACAGTGTTACATCATCTTATTTCTAGCAATTTCCATTTGTTTTCCAAATTGAAAGAAGACCAGAGGGACCAAAACTTTGGCCCCAATGAATCAAGACTGCAGTATACCACTGGTTTCATGAAAGAAAAATTTTTTTAAGGACAAGATTCTGAAATTTATTAAATGTGGTTAAAAATGCATTGAAGTTGGAGAAGATTAAGTGGAAAAGTAAGTATCCAAAGTTGTAAATAAAGGTTTAGGGTATATTTATCTTTTCTCATTTAAATATCTTATTTCCTTTGCGTTTTATTTAGGTGGAAGTCATTTTTCAGCCCACTCTCATACTTAACAGAAAACAAGAAAACAAACAAATATAATTAACAGAAGCTTCTCATATAACTTAAAGAAAAATATATTATATTTAACTCAGTGTCACAACTCTCAATTAAATATAACCTTCATCCTCAAATATTATAATTTAATTTCCTTATAAGTTAACTTACTAAGGAAAATTACTTGTAGAAGTCTTAAAGTTTAATAAATTAAACTGAAGACTTATACAAGTAGATGAGGGATTTATTTACATTTTATTTTTAAGATAATTATAACATTAAAAAACTCATTTTTATTATGTTTTCAAAACTATAAATTCATATCCATTTTGATAATAATGCTATGAAAAAAGAATGAAAAAACTTCAATTTATTTTATTCTCATTGTTATATCATCATAAAAAATCAGAAATTATATATNGTCACTGAACTCCCCGTATGTCCCTTGTCCTTAATGATGTGGTTTTATAGGACACTGTGTCAACGCAGTCGAGCCTCTGGCAAGGGTAGACGCCCCCCCGCCCTAGCCCCGAGTCATCTCTACAGCTCAGAACTAGTTCCGTCCAATCTCATCTAACTTTCGAATGTTTTTATGCCGGGATGTTCGACGACCCACTTAACTCTACTTTCTTCCCTCTTTTCTAGAGAAATCGCTTTTTTTCTTTTTCCGCCCATTTCCGTCGCCAGTCCTCATCTACACACTCGAAGCGTCCGTCGGCGCGTGGCCCGCACGCTCCTCCTCCGACTACGACCCCCCAAATAACGAGTTAATTATAACGAGCGGTCAGTAGCCTCTGCGAAAGAAAAAAAAGACTATAAATAATCTCCTTCGTTATTGTAAGGGGAGGGGTGATTGTTCGACTGCGCCTCCTCGCTCGATACTACCTTTTATCAATTTTCTTCGTATGTCACAACAGTTACGCGCCGCGGGAGCCCGAGGAATGCAGAATTTCATCATTGCCATTATTATCCGGTAAGTAGTGTTCGTTTGGTGGTGGTGGATCCATGTGACGGGTGTTTCGAAGCGTCGGTACGTTCGAAATTTCATTTTTCGGGCTACGTAACGCCATATTTTTCGACATTTTGGGTGGTAATCGCGTGCGTGACGGACGGACCCCCCGGGTGGACGATCGTGACCGTCATACTCGAGTGGTTGCGATTGACGGATGATCGGCCGAACCTCGATGATCGTCTTTAATTTCTCGTCCGGAGCAGTTCAAACCGGTCCCCATTGTGCAATGTTGATCTATGATCCGCCGTCAGAAACATTAATTACTTCTGGAAGCTGACAGTTGGCAGGATGGCATCAGGGTGTGGCAAAGCTTCTTTCGTCTGCCAATGCCTCGTTGCCATCGTTACTTTTACTGCTTGCAAAGGACTTTGTTGTCCGCAGGATTCGTTCCTGCTCCTTTTACATGCTGGCAAATTCTTAATTCCTCTACTATTTCGCTACACTAAACTACAACGTACTTTATTCTCCTCTTAATAATTATAATTTTTTCCACTTTCTTATTAATTTTAATCGAAATGATTCTCGCTTCCTTAAGGATGACGCGACCTGGAACAACTTCCATTAGAAAAAAGAGGACCGTTGCGTTGCAAAAATGAATTCGCAACAGAATATCACGGATTTCTCTGGCACAATTTGCGAAACGCGTTAATTCTTTCCTCCCTCTTAAAAGTGCTATCGGTTAAATCGAAAATATTATACTGTACACGAAGTCCTTCGCCCAAATATTTAAAAAATGGGTTTAAGTAACGTGACTTTCAGAAACACCCGGTATCTTTTGAGAAATATTTGTAAACGAACATTACTCAACCATTGTCATACACCCCATCTCGGTGCGATATAGTGCAACGACCCGAGAAACCCACCATATATATATATATATATATATATAAAGAAAAATATTTGAATAAAAGTTAAAATTTTAACAACTGTATAGCAAATAAATATTGCTTAGTTATACATATGAAATTTCTAAATGCATCATAAATTTAAAGAAATTTTATAGTTTGTAATACCATTATCATTATTAGCTGTCTTTTATATTATTTTTTAAAATTATAACTAGTCAAAATAACATACAGTGGACTCTCATTAGCATCAACCATCAATTGGTATCACCAGTATTTAAAGTCCTGGCAGAAACTCTATGCCAGCAATGTCAAACCCATGATCTGCATGATGATTTCAAACTACCCACATTGAACATTTATAAAGTATTAGGTTTTTATAAATTATAAAAAATATCTTTTAGATTTCAAAACTTTACCAACTTAATGTGAATACTGGTTCCTAAAGCTGTCAAGAAAACTCTTAAAGGCCAGTAATTATGAATTTCAGATTGAAAAATCATCATCATATAATAAACAACAAAAGATTTCCCATTAAACAAAATGTTTGTTTCTATTATAATCACATTATTTTCTTTTCACTTGCTTAGAGTTTATTGTTATTTTTTATTATTCAAATTAAATACTTGACTTGCAATTTGGAGTTAATAAAATTTCAAATTCAATTTTGACTCACCTTTGGAAAAAGGTTTGCCATTATTGCCCTATACTTGGTGTACACTTAACCCTGCTTAAAAAAACTTAATTAATGGTTACTGTCTTTTTAAAAATTTTCTTTGTCCTATGGGCATTAAGACGGCCTCTTTTTTTAGCAAGCTCTTGGTTTGGCCAGGTCCTCAATGAAGCAGCTAATAGTGAGGAATTGCCCAATATATCCAGAAGAAAATCCCAAAAAATTCCTAAGGTATTTTGACCTGTCCAGATTTGATCCAGAGTCCTCCAGAGCAGTAGGCAGCCACCTTAACTGCTCAGCCATTCAAATGTCTAATGGTTACCATCAACTTTTTTTCTAGTCTGAAGTGTGTACATACATACATATACACTTTGCTTATGTGCCAGAATTCATATTATTACTTTCAGACAGTTTCAATAGAATATAAGTAAATTTATCAGACTGTATTCAGAATTTCAAGATCTTTCTGAACATTTAAAAAGTTTCATCTGTCAATGTGTATAATATTATATGAAAGTACTATACAGTACATTCATGTATTGACATTTATTTAAACAATTTTTTGTTGTTAAATTGTCAAAATCTAAGTATGTATGAGTAATGAGCTCAAAAAAGTGATAGTAAAGTTGATGACACAACAGTTCCTACTTCAAAAGGTGCTCTTCTTGCTGTCAGTTGTTTTCATTGATTTACTCAAATCATTAAGATCAACTACTGGCTAACATCAATCCTTACAAGCAGTCCCACACAAATTGATGCTAATGAGAATTTACTGTAATTGAAAGAATTAACAACATTAAATAATTATAAAATATTTACTTCTTTTGCTTGATACATGAATTTTTCACTGTCATGGGCAGCCATTGTTAAATCAGATGTAGAACAACATCTTCTTGGAGGTGGTGTATAACCAGATTTATTCTGTACTGGTTTGTGAATACCCCCAAGATCAGTTAGTCTAAATTTAATCAAAATAGTACATATACATAAAATACGTTAATATATAATAATAAAATTAATTTATGACATACATTAACATCAAACATTTAGTTTTTTAAATTATAAATACCTATGAAGATAATCATCCCAACGCCCATAGCACAAATCTATGCCTCCTAAAAATGCGTATGTCTGATCGATAACTACAATTTTTTCATGATGTGCCCATAAAAGAACTCCTCCAGTAACATGATCAGGATGACGCAGCACCTAATGATAATAATAACAATAATTAATTTAGAATTTGAAATATTTGTATTTATTTTTATCACTGAAGAAAAAATTATTTTTCTATAATTTCATTTAATTATATTTTTATACATATAATCAGTTACATTAAGAGAAAGTAAAGAGAATGCCTTTATAATTATTTATACCTTTATATTCGGATGTAATTGGGCAAGTTGTTTTTTGCTATAGTAACTGTTGATTCCAAGTGCTAATTCAACTTCTTTGTAAAGTAATACAAAAATTTTAACTCCTTCTTCCTAAAAGAACCCTCTAAATATAAATTTTTACTTATTGTACATATATAAACGAAAAAAACTTATTTTAATCTTACAGCTTTTCTCTGCAAAACTCTATCCAATCTCCATAATTCACCTTGAATGACAGGACGTTTTAAGTAAATTTCAGGACTTAACCACCAATCTGCTATAAATATTTCTACCTTTGCTCTTTCTATTGCATCAGCAATTGCTTCAAAATAAGTTCCTCCATCTATAAACCTAACAAAATCAAGATAAAATTTAATTGTTTTATTATTAAATTTCTATTCCATTCAGTGTAAAACATGAATCAAATGTTTTCAAAAAATCAAAACATAATTTATATTCACATTCTTATTTTTTTTTACTTGCTTAAGATAATCATTATGTAAATAATAATTTTGAGAGGTTTTCCTTTTACAATCATTATTTTTCATAAATAATATGGAATCAGACTATTAGTTGTTATGCCAACCAACATTGGGCTTGCTTATGATGAGTATAACTGAGGCCAATTGAACAGCATGCAGATGCATTGTGTTCATAATCAATCTTTAATGTTTTAACCAAAGTATGAGTGATTTAATTAATGTTTAAATTAAAATTGAAAATTTTAAAAGTGGAAGAGAGAAATATTTGAATGTACAAAATAACAAAACATTGACACTATTAGTGAAAAAAAATGTATGTTACACAAGATTGTCATTGATGATGCATTGCTTTTTTATGTGAAATGTTTTTGATACAATTGACCATCTCAAAAGTATCTTGTTTTATGAATGGTGTAGTTTCTAGAAAGCCTCTTAAAAGTTTGAGATTTTTTTCTGTCTTTCATACATGTAGGATATTTATCCTTGACACGATTCAACCATATCTTTCTTGCTTGTTTCTGGTACTGCTTGCTGTTGTTTTCAGATAAGTGACCCCAGACAGCTAGGTCATTTTCAACATTGATAAAATCCACGAATGACACTTTTTCATCACTAATTGCCATAATGAGATTGGCCCTTCGATCACTGGATTCTGAAAGAAACTGAAGGAAATTCTTATTTATTTGAAACATCAACAAATTGTAGATCAAAATCTGATATTGTAAGGTAAGATGATAGAGGAGAAATGCCAATTGCATATGAGTAGTATGGGACTGATACACTTTTGATTAGAAATTTCTATGGGGAAATATAATGTATGATGCAAGATAGATTACATTTAAAATTTTTGGTTTGGTTTTGGAATAATGTCAGAACAAGTTTGAACATGTTTTTTCAAGTTTAAAAATAAACTCTTCCAATTAATCAACAAGGAAATATTTCAATTGAGTTGAAATTTTCTGTGCAATTACCAGAAACTGTCGACATTATTTGTTTAGTGGAGTATAATAATACTTTAAAAATTGATCATTTGAGAACCGTACATGTGGATTATTAATTTTAAAAAATGAATACTGTTACTTTATGGAGACTTGCAGTAAGTGATTTAGAAATAGATAACTCTTTTGGAGGTGTTTTTCCATCCAATAATCTGCCTATTGACATTGAAAAAACATAAACCTGGAACATATTGGATTGCAATTTATTTTGAACCTGAAAGAAATGTCTGTTTTTATTTTGATAGTTATGGATTAGAACCAATAAAACAAATTATTGTAAATAAATTTTATAAAACGAAATTCAAAGTCATATTGTTGGAACAAAATTGTTTATCAAAGTGTATATTCTTCTACCTGTGGATATTTTTGTTTATATTTTCTATATAAAATGAATAGAAATCAATGTTTAACCAAATTAAGTACTACTGTTAAATTTTATAATGATAATTTTGTAAAAGAATTTGTTAAAAAACATTTTCATTTATCAAAACAGATTATTAATTTATATAATCAATGTTGTGAGCCACCGGGAGGGAAGAGGAGTCCTCTCCTTCCGGCCACTGGTCGGTGACCTACTTTCTTGTCAGGGATGGTAGTAACGTTCGGTTACGCGTTACGTGAGTGGAGGAGAGTCGGAGGGGTCGACGATAAGGCGTTGGCATAGTCGAATAAAGACACCATATTTCTAAATTAACAATTTATTACAAACAAATAATAAAACAAACGTTCTAACACGGTACGTCTCATTCGCATATGAGAGAGAGAGCTTACAATAAAGCGTTCATACCTCTTGCGATGATAGCGAAGGCCTTTAATTTCTGAAAGGCCTTCGCTTTTCAGAAATTAAAGTTGAGGGTTGGGTTCGAAGGTCTTCTAATATGTGGTGCGGCCGGTTAGAGGGAAGCGATTGTCCGTCTTGATGGTGCGATGGCGACTTCTTGATCAGCGACTCCCCTGAGAGGGGAAGGAGGATGGCTTTTATACCTTTTTGGTGGGAAAATTCGTCAGGTGATCAATTGTTTTAGCAGGTGTGAGGTTAAAGGTGGTGTTAGAATGACAACAATATGACGAATTTTGCCAATAACTGTAAACTATATACGGTTTGATCGTGAGAATGTTTATAGTTAAACAAAAAGAGTTATAATTCTCTCATGTACTTTATATTTCGTTTTTGTAGGGTCAAATTCCTTTGGTTGAGGGCATTTTTATTTTAAATTTATTAAACTTTTAAAGGATTAAATGCTTTTATTAACTTCGAATTTCACAATGTTGTAGTCTAATGAAAAATAATTTGAAATAAAACACATTTAAAAAAATATATATTTTTTTTATTTATATCAAAATACATAAAACATTCAAAAATATACTTTTATAAGAAGATACATTAAATCATGTCTACTGATGTTTTAAAAAAATGAACATTAGTTTTTTTTATAAAAAAGATACGTTTTTTTATTCCAGCATTGGAAAAAAGTAGTAGACATTAAAAAAATTATTCTACTTTACAAAATATTTATAAGAACACACATTGTACAATGGGTAATGCGATACAAATAGATCGTGTTCACTACATTTGATTTTTATTTTATTAGATTTTGGTACATTAAAAATTTTTTCAATATCATAACATTGAATATTTAATTTTTTACAAAGATCTTTTTCATATGTTCCTCCTTTATAAAATATAATTTTATATTTGTTTGAAAGTTTTTTCAAAACATTCTCTATTTTATTACTACTAATCCAGTTTGAAATTTCCTTATAATCTGGTTTCCAGCTTAATTTTAAACTGTGTACAAATTTGCTCAAAAAATTTGTCTTTTATCTCTTTCATTTAACTCATGATATTTTATAGATGGAGTGTATATGTTTATACATTCAAAAATATCTTTGTCTATTACAATATAACTTAATTGTCTATACACAGTTCTAATAGTTAAATCAATTCAATACAATCAATCAATTCATTCACAGTTCTAATACTTAAATCAATTAATACATTCAAAGTCAATTATTACTCCATGCATTTTTCTATTAAAAACAAAATATATATTTAATTTTCTATAAATATAATAGTAAATATAATAACAAACCATTCTTACCTAAAGAGTTTTCTCTTTAACACTTAAAACATCTTATTTATAACTGACTGAACCAACCAAGCATTAGAAAATAGTAGTAGACATGTATCTTCTTATAAAACTAATGTTACATTTTATTTTATATATTTATTTTATTGAAATGATTATTAAGGAAAACTAAAGTTCAGTTTTATTAATTTGTTTATAACCTAATGATCAGTAATCTCAAAGATCTGTTTATAAGCAGTTGATAATATTTAATAAAAAAAAACATGATCATTAATCACCTAAACCTGGAAGAACCAAAATTTAGTTTATCAAAAATGAAAGATGTGTTTCCAAAATAATCATAAATTAATTTTATTTAGTAGTACAGTATAAATTTACAAAATTTTGATGGCAAAATTAGACTTACAACAGTCTCAAAGAGAAGAAAAACTTACTACAGTCTTGAAAAGAAGATTCAACTATTTCAAAGAGAAGAAAGTAAGTTTTCTTATATCTATTAAATTTTATATTCTTTTAGAAAAAGACTTTTTTATTTGAATTGAAACACAAGGTGTTATTAACATCTATTATATATATTTCTGAAATGAATTAAATGAATTGAAAAGATTTTTCTAAACGAAAATCTTTTCTGAAATGTGTTCTGACATTATTCAAACATGTTCAAACATGTTCAAACATGTTCTGACGCATTATTCCAAATCCAAAACCGTGAATTTTAATATATCTTCAAAAAACTTGTTCAAACATTATACCAAAACCAAACCAAAACTTTTAAGTGTAATCTATCTTGTATCATTCATTATATTTCCCCATAGGAATTTCTAATCCAAAGTATATCAGTCCCCTACTACTCATATGCAAGCAGAATACTACAAAAGCATGAAAGGAATTACAGCAAAACAGAAAGAGAATGCTTAGCCATTGTTTGTGCTATAAAACATTTTAAACCATACCTTTATGGCAGAAAAGTTACAATCATCACAGATCATCAACCTCTCCGATGGCTAATTAGCACTAAAGATTCTTCCACAAATTCTCAAATTTTGAGATGGGCATTATTTTTGCAAGAATTCAATTTTGATATTAAGCATAAGGCAGATTTCTCACAAAAATGTGAATGCATTAAGCCATATTCCTGTTAGACAGATTGATGAATTTGAACCAATCTTCTCAAAAGCACAAAGAGGCAAATCAGCAAAAGTGAGACCCAAAATGGAAAAAGATAATTTGAAAAAGGAATGTGAGAGATGAAAGGACGTTTCCAAATATAAAGGAATTCTTTTTGGAGGAAGATGGGGTCCTCTATCATAGAAAAACACATACACCTTGAAGAGAGAGTTGAGAACAATTGGTTATACCACAAGTATCAATAGAATACATATTACAAGCATACCAAATAATCCAACAGCCAGACATTTGGAAACAAAGAAAATGACGCAAAAAATTGAAACAATTTTTTTGGCCAGTTATAAACAAGGATATTAGAAATTATTGCCAAAGCTGTCAACATTGTGGTGTTCAAAAAAATAAGAGGCAAGTAAAGTCAAGCAGAACTACAATCATTTCCAAGATAAATGCACTTATTTGAGAAAACAGCAATGGACATTCTGGGCCCTTTACCCATCTCTACTGCTGGAAACAAATATATTTTAGTTTTCGTTGACTACAGTTGATATGTGGAAGCTGTACCATTGCTAGATGTATGCAGCAAAACTATTGCAAAGGCATTTATTACCAATATCATTTTGAGACATTCAATGCCAGTTCAACTTCTCACAGCACCAAATCAAATATCCAAGATGTTCAAGTAAGTGTGCAATTTACTTCATATATAGAGATTATTCACCATAGCATATCATCCAGCATGCAATGGAATTGTCGAGTGATTTAACAAAATTCTCATCAATATTATATCACACTAGTAGCTAGAGATCAGCAGGATTGAGATGAATGTATTCCATATACTCTATTTGCGTACAACACAACAATATATGTATCTATCAATGACAGCCCATTTTACTTATTGTATGGTCAAGATCCTATTTATCCATTTGATTTAATTACAAGTCCCACAGTGACCAGATATGATGTAGAAACTTTGCATCAAAATTACAACTCAGGATGACACAAAATAGCCCAAGAATATGCAGAGAAAGTGGTCAAAGAAATACAAGATCATCATCAGCAAAAACATAAACCACCAAAGCATCACATAGAAGATGTCTTTTTAAACAAAGTAGCTATACTTCAAGGAATAAAGTGGATACTTCAGTGGTGTACCGTGGGTGTCAGCCGCCCGGGGTGGAGAAAAATTTTGGCCCCCCCGTATTTAGGTATTTCAATTTAAAAGACCAAAATTCAGTTTTGTCACAGAACAAGCAATGAAAAATTTGGTGGTAGTGCAGTGACCTGTTTAAAATAGTTCTATTGGATATTACTGGTGTATATGAACATGAATGAATCGTACAGGCAAAAAAAAAAAAAAAAATTTCACAGGAATTCCTCGGATGAAAAAGCTACTAGCTCACCCCACAAGCCAATTCCCAGACTGTCCGGATGATAGCACTATCGTAGGCACGATGCAAGTATAGATTAGGATGTTTCAAATTTTTACAAGATATTATTATTATTTATTGTGAAATTTTGCCGCCCCCTAAAAAGTGCCATCCGGTACGCTGCCCCCACTATGGTATGCCATTGGGATACTTGCACCAAGATGGTCATGGCCATATTGGATTATAAAAGAATTAAGTCCAATGAATTCTCTAATTGAAAATATACAAAGAAGCAACTATATATACATACCAATAGATTGAAACTATGTACAGCATGACAGGAATTTAGCATAGCCGACAGTATAGTGTGTCTGTACTGTCGACTATGCTAAATTCCTGTCATACTGTAATCAACTTAGCTCTCAACCAGAAACATGCAAACAAAGAAAGGAGCATCAAAAGAAAGAAATAAATCCAAACATAGATTCTTGGGATGAATTTATCTTAAATTCAGTGCTACAGCAAGCAGAATTGGAACCTGAATCACAAGAAGAAAGTGATTCAGGATCAATGACAGGAGAAAAGTCAACAGAGCCAACACCTCCGAATCAGTATGTATTAAGAAGCTGAGGTCTGGTTGAAGAACAGCCTTGGGTTCTCCCTCCACCTACTCATAGGAGCAGAATACCTAGATTTATTTCCCCTGCATCTAGCACTTGTACTTAAGTAGAGAAAGTAACTAAGCAAACTCTCCCTACAAATCTAGACAATGATTCCAAAAAGTAATAAATAACTATCCAATATTCATTGTTTTATCAAAAAACCATATATTGCACACAATTTTCAGTTGGAATCAAACATGATTATCAAACAAACAAAAAAAAAAAAAAAAGAGAAAGCGAGAGAGAGACAGACAGATCAAAAATGCCAATTAATGCATGAATTATCCTGTCAAAAGAAACCTCATCTATCTGATCAGTGTTTAGCTTGAAATTGCTATGCACTGCCTCAAAAATCCCACTTGCTCTTTAAGGACCTAGTGTGATTTTGGAGAGGTGAGGATAGTGTGAGAATCGAACAAGTAAAAGGGAAACAACTCAAGGATGACCTCATCATAAGCTAATATATGTCAACTTTCTGACCTGAGAGAGTGTCAATTTATGTTTTCTCAGAGTCAATAGTGACACCTTTCCCATGACTTTTCATCACCTCTGAAGTATTTACTGCTTTGAATATGACAAGGAATGGCTGATTCCAGTCAGTCATTGCCTGTTTTTTCAACTGTTCAGTTTAGTGTGTTTGTGTGCCTCTTTTGGATTAATGCTCTTCTGTGCCCCAGATTGCTCATCATCCTTCTACTGACTGCTTCTCTCTTGAACTGCTAACTGAAGGACTACATTCCAAAGATCCTCAATGGGGATTCTAGTTCCAATTTGTAAGGAACCAAAAATTTGTAATCTCTCTCTCTGCAAAATCACAAATACCCTGTGTAATGTGTTGTACCAACTTTCATGCCATCTAATAAACATTTAAGTGTAGTAAATTGTGTTGAGTAAATCAATTCCAACTGAATCTAGTCCTTTCCTGCTCCATCCTCTTACTCCCAATCTCACATACAAGACAATATATGCCATTCAGACACATTCAAAACAGTTATAACCTACTTGCCTCATGGGCCTCATGCAGCACTGCTCTAAATATGTACATCAAATTACAAATAGTGAAACCATTATCAGCAAAGTAGTTTTCTCTAAAATTTTAAATATTCATCTTATACTACATTTACTAAATATTAAAAGTTTGCTGAATTATACCAGATTAGAGTTGATTGGTTGGAAAGATTTTAACCTGTTTTAATTTTTTTTCATAGAAATTCTTAACAAAGTAAACTAGAATAACTTAAAAGAATTTAATGAGCTATTATTTATTGTGATATTGTCACAATGCTGGGTTGCAATTTTTCATAACAATGATCTCAATTTTAGTAGTGTCTTGTCCCTGTACATCATACTTTTCCTGTTAACATTACAGTCATGCCAGTCATCTATCTAACTCTGTTCAGGAATAATTTTTGAATTGAAATAACATGACTTCTGGTGCAAACCAAAGGTTTGTATATAATTAATCTGGGCTTTCTTCCACTAAGCTTTCCATATCTGGTCTTCACTTTTATCTATCTCATTCTGTTATCGAGAGAGGGGGAGGGAAAGAGGAAGGAAGGAAGGACAGTCACAAACCAGTGGGAATTTATAAATCTGAAATATTTGAAAATTGCAGCCCAACAATGATTCATATTTATTAATTTATAATATTTGAATTAAAATATTGAAATTAAAATGTTGTTAATCATACCATCGACAGTCAACACAAAATCTCACTGGTGCAAATGAATCAAACCGATTAGGCTGAGTAAAATCTCTGGAAAGAGTATTTGAAGTTTCCACAATATGTTGCATCCATTCTCTAGCTTTCCTTTTTGTCCAACATTTTACTAACAATTGCCTATTAAAATAAAATGTTGATTAATTTAATTTCTTATAAAATTAAAAATTATTTTAAAATTTTTATTTGTTTTCTAATACCTGCTGAGATTTGTTATTAATAATCCATGATGAATTCCTGTTGCTGCAAGACCACATTCCACATTAAAATAACTATCCATTAATAAAACAGACTTAATTTTGCCATCTTTTGGCCTAATATAGGCAACAAAACTATCTTTAACAACAAGCCATCTAAAAAAACAAAAAAATAAAATTCATATTATTATTCAAAAAGAAAAAAGCATGTAATAAATATACGTGGTACGATCCAAAAGTTCGGGGACTGCAGTAATGTTTGACAACAAAAGCATGTATTTGAAGTTACAGTGTATGAAATTGATTCTATCAAACCTTTCCTACATGTTCAGGTTGGTTTCGCCCATGTTACATGATTAAACCGCGAGTGCTGTTGTTTTCTTTCGGAGATAGTTACCTTTGTTTTGCGACGTAATAAAAATGGAGTTTCAAGAACAGCACTGCAACATTAAATTTTGTCAGCATTTAGGTAAAACACCTACGGAGACTTTAAAATTGCTAAGAAAGGTGTACGGTGATTTTACCATGGCGAAATCAAACGTGTACAAATAACATTGGCGTTTTAAAGAGGGCCGAGAATCCATTGCAGACGATGAATGCTCTGGCCGATCTTCGACTTCATGGAATAAGGAAAATGTTGAGTTGATCTCTCAATGTGTTTGCAAAGATCGTCGCCAAACCCTTGAAAAAATCGCTGCAGCTACTCACTTATCAAAGACTAGTTGCCAGCGTATTTTAACAGAAGATCTTAACATGCACCGAGCAAAGGAAAAGTCATGATGGAGTGATGGATGCAGTCATGTTTTTTGATTCTCAAGGAATTGTTCATTCAGAATTTATTCCCAAAGGCAGAACAGTAAACAAGGCACATTATCTAGAATTGTCATTTGAGGGAATCCATTCATCGTAAATGACCACAGATGTGGCAAAGTGAAGACTTCTGCATGACAACGCACCTGCACATTGGTCCCAAATGGTCACAGTTTCTCGCCAAAACTCAAATTAATGTGCTTCCACACCCCGTCTATTCACCGGACTTAGCCCTGTGTGATTTTTATTTGTTTCCATCAATGAAAAAGCATTTGCAGAGACACCATTTTGTGTCATCAGATGAGGTGAGAGCAGCATCGCAGGAGGCCTTACGGGAGGTTTCAAAAAATGGCTTCCAGAAGTGCTTCCAGAAGTTATACGAGCGCTTGCAAAACTGTATCGTTGCCCAAGGTGATTACTTTGAAGGTGGTTGTGCATCGGCAATATAAACTTTTTAAGGTAAGGAATTTTAAGCCAAGTCCCNAGTCCCCAAACTTTTTGATCGTACTACGCATATATTTATTTATTTATTATAATATATATTAATTTTAAATGTTTTAACATAGATAAATGAAAGCAAATACATATGAACAGATGAAAAATATATTTACTGTATATATTAACAACTAATCTCTACTACAGTCAAATCTCATTAATACAAAATTGAAAGGACTTAAACATTGGCACTTTGTATTCATGAAGTTTGTATTAAGCAAACTTTACAAAAAAATCAAGGGTCACATTATCAAATGGCAAAAGCCAAATTTCCTCCCAGTTACTTCACTATCTTTTATCTTGTTTAGATAAGTTTGTTTACATATTTTTTTTAAACATACATATTCTTCCAAACATACACTTTATTGAAGACTACCATCCCTCGTCACAGCCTCGTCCACTCTTACCGTAAATCTGTGCAGATAAGACAACCTTCAGATAAAACGAGGTATAAATTTTTGTCAAAATTTTATAGTTTTAGCATATATCTGTCCTATAAGATGACCCCTAAATTATCAATGGCCTATGAATTTAGTTTAGATCAGTGATCATCATCTGGATAATAATACTGCATAGCATATACGGAATTATGTCCTATTTGTAATTTTTCGAATAAACAAATTTTATTTTCTTGCCTTGCGATTATTGCGAACATTGCACTGATTCGGGTATTCGGGTAATGACCTTTACTATTCACAAAAAACATCGTATAGGCTATTTTATTTTGTGGACATACCCTAGTCTCTACTAGTAAATAATTACAGTTTGTTTGCTTTTTATAATGGTTTTAATTTATATAAATTTCAATCTAATAACTTTTTTGTATGTGTCCTATAAGACGACCCTGAATTCTGGGGGCCTTTTTCTTTATGATTCAACTATCATCTTATCTGCGCAGATATACGGGTAATTATTCATTATTTTTGGGTGATCAATGTGTAATATTGCTGTAGAGTATTGCAAAATATAAAAAAATAAAATCATAAAACTTGTGAATAAGTTATATTGATTTGAAACCTAAAAAATTCCTCGCTATACACATTTGATTCTGAGCTGAACAAATTCGTTCTCTTCCAGTTTTTGAGACTGCTCTGCTGTAGATTCACATTGTCTATAATTATGAACAATAACAGCTCTAGAACTTTTTTCCTATTTGTGCTCTTGCAGCTCTCGGCATTATTTAACAATCAATCTGAAAAATATTCACTTGAGATTAATCCAATAACTATTTCAAATATTCTGTACCTGCAGAAATTAATGTGTAACGATTCGAAAACTCACCATAAGTACACATATTGCCATCTGGCATGACGATGTCACTTTTTTAATTCCTCAGAGATTTTGCTAATTAACTAATTATAATTTAATGTCAGTTCTTCAAATATAATAGTAAACTTCAATAATAGATTTTTCTTATAGACAGAAAGTACTAATTCATGTATTGCCATCTAGTGAAGAGAGAGAGAAATAGACAGACAAAAATCCATTGCAGGTTTATTTAATTAATAAAAAATCTGTAGGTTTGATTAGTGGTAAACATTCCAGGGTTCATAAAGATGTTACAGTTAAAATTTGGTAACGATTGGTTCAATAGTTTTTGCTGTTAGTGGTCACAAATAAAAAATACTTTGTCTCTTTATATAGTAGTATAGATAAAGTGGTTTAATGAAAGAATCAATGTTTGTTTATTGACATCTGTCAGAGCTGGTAAAATGATGACTAAAGCTACTGAACATAATAGGCTGACCTAGTAGCTACCAAATTGAATCCAGGATTGGACACATGTAAAATTTTACAAATTAAAAATAACTTATTTACTTAGATTTCTATGAAATAATTTATTTTTTAATTTTAGAATCACAAAATAGATACAGTTTTTAATATTGTAATTCAGTTGTTTCAATATTTCCATTATTAAAGCAATTAAAAATAAAAACTATTTTATAAAACTACAGATTTTTAATCAAAAATTGTCCAATCCTGTTAACTTCTGGTTTACAATTCATATGTCAGCTCTCTTAACTAATTGTTTAGCTTTAGTGCAGCAAACAAGGTATGTCTATAAGAGAAAGTGTAATTTTTTTGAGTTAGAGTGAACAATGTTGGTTGGTATATACCTATATTGCTAATAACAGCATTGGCCAAAACACTTATGACGACAATGTTAAAGTTGAAAAATGCACCTGATCATGATATGGCTTGTGCCTAGTCACTTCAGCTCTTGTGACTTCAAGTAAACTGGAAGTAGTGTGCTTCATATTACATATTAACTGATATTTTGTACTAAACGAACTTGTTAACATTGAAATGCCTACCCTTGTCCACAGGACATAAAATCTACTTTGCATTAACCAGGGCTGTGGAGTCGCGTAAAAATCTACCGACTCCAACTCCGACTATTTTACCAATCCGACTCCGACTCCGGCTAAAACACTAAAACTCCACGACTCCGACTCCAACTCCACAGTTCTGCCAGGGCTGTGGAGTAGCGTAAAAATCTACCGACTCCAACTCCAACTCTGACTTTTCCTTACTATCCGACTCCAGCTAAAACACCAAAACCCCACGACTCCGACTCCGACTCCGCAGCCCTGGCATTAACACAAACTTCACATAGACTAATAATGTGATAATGGTGTTTGACTGTATTTTAACAACTTACTTGTTAGATTCAAACATAAAAATTTACATGTTTCTCTCAATCTCCAGCATTCACTGTTTAAAAAATGAATGGCCAGATTTAGGCCTGCATCAGGTTAAGCAGATTCTATATCAAACATCTATAGCAAGTTCAAAGTCTGGAATAATACCATTTTCTTTAATGTAATTGTTTTTGAATTAGTACAGTACATAGTATATATTAATACGTAAATATTAATATAGTTTTAACAAATTAAATGAGTAATTACAAGCAAAAATATTAAAATGCCTCTAATAAATAATATAAACAAAAAAATTAAAATTAAACTTATTTGGCAAAATGTAAATTTATATAATTGCATTTAGTTCAAAAACAATTAAATCAAGGAAAAAAGAGTTATTCCAAACTTCAAACCTGCTATAGACATTTGTTATAGAATCTGCTAAACCTGACACAGGCCCGAATGTATCTGAAAACATTTGTTTTTTAAACAGTGAATGCTGGAAATTGAAAGAAAGGTGTAAATTTTCATGTTTATAAGATAGTTCCAGCTTTAGGATTTAATAAACTTAGTTTTGATTTAATGCTACAAAACTCAAAATTTAAATGATTATAATATAAGCTAGTTAATTAATAATTATTTAATAATTGGAGAAACTAAACTAATATCAATATATTATAATCAGGTGGAAACTTTAATGCTAAGTACACTTGAATTAATTTTAAAAAATTTTAATGTTAAAAAAACCCATCTGTTAAGAATGAAATTTGAATGTAACATGAAAACACATTGCAGTTATCCCATCCACATTTTGGATAGAAATTAATTCAGACCTGTTATATATAGGTGTTTTTAGAGAATACAGTATTAGTAGGTATTAAGTTTTTATGCAGATTGGTAGTACTTAGTAGATACTCTAAATGATGTTTGACAGAATATAACTTTCCACTCAGCATGATATATATATATATATACAGAGCCGGCCCTACCATAGGGCAAACGGAGCAGCCGCTCCAGGCGCTAAGTCCTATCGGGCGCCTCAGTGGTAAAGAAAATTAANACTATAGTCCAAATGGATAATAAAATTTAAAGATGAGAAAAAATTTTATTTTATTAGTATTTATGTTTTAGTTTCAGTATAATAATCTATTCTCAAACTGCATTATTGTCATTAAATTATAATTATAAAATAAATTACATCCAATTAACCTTTTTCTCCAGAAACCACAACATTCTGTTATTGCTCGTCTTAATTTTAAGCAAACAGCTTTAGTCAGATGACCTCCAGAACGTTTTAATACCAAACCTTCTTTCCCTTTTTGTCCTAAATCATTTATAAAAGACAGAGGTCCAATTTCTAAAAAGTTCATCTGAAAATATAAATAATAAATATGAATATTTTTATACTTTAATATACTAATAAATTTTTAACTTATATTTCCTTGTAGGAGTCAAATAATAGAGTTTTTTTAATTTAGTACTTTCAAGAATATTCTTTTCATTTCTAGAATCAAAGAAGCTCCACAATAAAAAGTGAATAATTTATCGATAAATTAATTTAATACTAAAAAACTTCAAAAGATTTCATACTTTTATTTAATCATATATAACCATTATCATCTACAATGATTTGCCATCTTATCAGTAATTTTTTAACATCATCTTCATTAAAAGGATTTCAATATAGATGTGAAATAATCTGACAGTTCTTCATAAATTTCATTTTTATCTTTGAATTATCGTCCTTTCAATTCGAAAAAGATGGTAATTAGTTGGACAATTTCAGGAAAGTATGTTGAATGCATCATGACTTCCCAATTAAAATCGTTAAGTTTCTATAGTGTTACTTGGGAAGAATTTAGCCTCATATTATAATAATAGAATAGACTTGTCATCTATTGACAAATGTGGATTTTTAAAGCAATTCTGTATTGAAGAAGATTAGTTGTTAACACTTACACTAACAATAAACATTCACAATTACAGTTTTATTAGGAAGTAGCAATTCAAAATGAATTATGCCAAGTTTATTCCATCAAGCAGACAACAGTCCTTTTTTAAATACAACTCACTCTTTGCTATTAGTTCTGTTGCTATTCCTGATCTTTCCATTCCCTTTTTCTTAACACATCATTATATAAGATACATTTTTCTGTTACAAAGTACTAAAAAACAGTCTAATGCATTACTTGACAGAAGATAAGTATATATGTTACTGCTAAAGCTCGAAATCCGTTAATGTGCACATTACCTAGCTAATCTGCACATTAACTAGGGTGATCTGTTAAAGTTGCTAAAATTGTTCTATTTCTCAAATTACCTAGGTAATGTGCAGATTACCTAGATACTCTCTAGGTAATGTGCAGAGTATCTAGGTAATCTGCACATTACCTACTAGGCACTCGGTAAAGTGAAAATAAGATTTTTGCTGGAACAACAGCAACGTTTCTGTACGCTTAAATTAACATAATGTTATTTATTTAATTTTCAATATCTAAAGAATCAAGTTAATACAATCAACAAATTAGTTGATTGAATCAATCATCAATCAATTAAAAAAACTTTAATACAAAAATCAAACGGTTTAAAATATTACTACAATTAGGGAAATGAATTTGCAAAACATATGATAAAATTGTACTTACTTATTAGTGCAATCTAAAGATTGGTGACACTTTGAATTACGTAGCAATTGGTTTTTGCGACAAGCACGCCTATTTGTGGTACATTTAGATTTGCAGTCACATTTTCTGAAACCCTGCCCAGTACCAAGGGATTGTTTTATTGCTGTTTGACGTAAAGATATTTCTACAGCAGGGACATCCATCTTCTTTCGTTAAAAATCTCTCTTTGCAAACACTGAATTCAGATTTTGCATACAATTGTTTTAAAATACCTGTTTTAGTATCAAGTTTTATGTTTGTTCACGCAGTTTGTGGTGAAGTAGATCCTAAAGAGGAAGGGTATGGTAAGAATGTATTGTGCATCATCTGTAAAAAGAATATGGATCAGAAAATACAGCGTGATGAAGCCAAGAAATGTTTAGAAAAGCAAGCAAAGAAAATGTTAGCAGTTTCTAATGCAAAGCACCCAAACGTCGATGAAGGTTTCGCTGTGAGAATTAAAGTACCCGAAGAAGACAGAGCAAAAACTGATGCACGTTCAATTTTAGCTGTGGTTCTTAGTAAAACAGAGGATGGCTTTTATAAACTTGATACTAAAACAGGTATTTTAAAACAATTGTATGCAAAATCTGAATTCAGTGTTTGCAAAGAGAGATTTTTAACGAAAGAAGATGGATGTCCCTGCTGTAGAAATATCTTTACGTCAAACAGCAATAAAACAATCCCTTGGTACTGGGCAGGGTTTCAGAAAATGTGACTGCAAATCTAAATGTACCACAAATAGGCGTGCTTGTCGCAAAAACCAATTGCTACGTAATTCAAAGTGTCACCAATCTTTAGATTGCACTAATAAGTAAGTACAATTTTATCATATGTTTTGCAAATTCATTTCCCTAATAGTAATAATATTTTAAACCGTTTGATTTTTGTATTAAAGTTTTTTTAATTGATTGATGATTGATTCAATCAACTAATTTGTTGATTGTTTGATTGTATTAACTTGATTCTTTAGATATTGAAAATTAAATAAATAACATTATGTTAATTTAAGCGTACAGAAACGTTGCTGTTGTTCCAGCAAAAATCTTATTTTCACTTTACCGAGTGCCTAGTAGGTAATGTGCAGATTACCTAGATACTCTGCACATTACCTAGGTAATTTGAGAAATAGAACAATTTTAGCAACTTTAACGGATCACCCTAGTTAATGTGCAGATTAGCTAGGTAATGTGCACATTACTGGATTTCGAGCTTTAGTGGTAACATATATACTCACACATTATTACTAGTAGCTCATGTAATATTTACTTTTCAAGCTTAGACATCTTGCTTATTTGCTGCAGTTAATGATGAATAATACTATGAGAATAATTTAAACATTCTGCAATTTCATCTATCATTAAATATGATTTTGCTTTGACAAGTATAGAAAGAGTATTATTGTCAAATTTGATGGAATGTCTAAAATGGAGTCTTTCATGATACAATTTTCATTAAATTTTTCAAACAACTTTTAAGCAATCCTTATACTAAAAATATAAAATTATTATAAAGTATCTCTACATTTTTTTGAAAAGGGTAACAAAATCATTTGTTTGTAGGTTGTGTACAGTATCTAGACCCTAAATGCTTTAAACTCAATTAACAGTTTTACTAGTTATTAAATCTTCTGAAACTGTGTTGTCTTAATTTCTTTGATTCACTAACACAAGATGTGTTAGTGAATCAAAGTTTTACTAGTATCAACACACACAAATTTGTCCATTGGTCTTTTTCATTGTTTATTATTATTATTACTCATGTGTACAGTGCATAGTATTTTTCCTAATCCTTGTTACTTTTGGTTTGGACTGAGAGGTAAGATCTGTCTCTCTTATAGACCCTGAGATGAAGTTTGATCAAAGGATTAGTTTTTATGGTAGTACTGAATTCTAAAAATTTAATAAATGCATTTGATTGTCAAGAAATTTAACAGTAATTTATTTCTCTTTTGTCAAACACAGTGCTAAGTTTTATAAACATTTATGATTGTATTTTCGCTTTTATACATCACATCAATAACACTAAAAATTTACTTACTGTCTCATAATGACTTTTATACAATGGAATTCGAAGAAGATTTCTTAAATATTTTTCAAGTTGCTCCTATTCAAAATAAAAAAGTAATTTATTTAAAAATATACAAATCTTTTTTATAGCATTTCTAAATGTTTACTGTCCGAAGAAAGCTGAAAAATCAATAACACAATCAGTAAGGCAGATCATGAACTGTGATGGAATATAGCCAGCAAATAACTCCAAGAATAGTGGATCAATTTATATAAGATTGCAACTAGCTAAGATGTTAATTTATTTTTTGATTAGTTACATTATTAAAATGTTACTATGTTAGAAAAAGATTAAATTTATATAAGTAAAAAATATACCAAAAATTTATTTGAAAATTAAGCATAAATTCCTAATATAGTAAATTATTATAAAAATAAATATATTCTAATTTTCTTATAATTACTTCACTTGAACAGGTAATTCAATAATCATTTTATCATCTTGGTCATTTATTGTTTATTCTAAAATATATGTTCAATTTTATGAAATATTTTTAAAGTTAAGATTATAATTACACCCCAAAATATAATAATAAAAATAATGATAATTGAAAGGTTAATTGGAAAAAATTAAAATATTTTTTCCTAATCAACCTATATCTTTAATAGAAAATAATACTAAAATTTTTGTATTTAACTAATTCTTCCAATGGAATTAATTGCATTGGAAGTAATAAAAAGTAGAGAAATTGATGATAATTATTTTTTACAATTTCTTTAAAAAATTTAAATTTAAACAAACATTGTAGAATGTATTTTTATATATTGTAGAAATACTTTACACATAACTAAATTTAATTTTATAATTTTGTAGTATATATGTTGCAGTCAAAACCCATTTTTAGTTAGAACACATTTTAACTAGTTGAAACTAGTTTATACTGAATGACTTTGTTAAAACTAGTTTTAACTCAAATTCATTTTTGACTAGCAGTAAATTCTAGTTTTAACTAGACAAAACAGGTTTTTTCTAGTTAATTTACTGCTATACATGTTTTGATTTTAGATAAAACAAATTTTAGCTACATAAATATGTTTGGGGGAAATAAATAAAGTTATGCATAGTGATTTGGGGGAAGATGCCTAACATTTTGCATATGAAGAAAATTATAGCAATAATTTGGGTTTTGGAGTTCTCTAATGAAAATATATTCTGGAATATGTTTTTCAAATAAAACTTTGGAGTTTATTAAAAAAAATTATGTATTGTGTTTGCAATGACGACTTTTTCACTGTCTGGCATTTTAGGCATCTCACCCCAAGTATCCGGGTGAGATAACAAATATAATTGCATAAAATTAATTTTTGAATTTCTTAACCAAATTTAATTTATTGCATATGTAGTACAAAGTACTTCATAGTAAGTATAACAGCACAGTATAAGTATTGTTAAGTTTCTGCCCGTTCTAACGNTTGTATGAAAAAATATATTAACCTATCCCCTGTTGAAATTTTTCTCCATTGTGTGTCGCTTCGCGTTGGATTTTTGTCGATGTTAAGCCTAATGAAAATTTTTAATAATAATAATTGTGGCTATTGTATCAGTAATTATTTCTTTATTTTGCACAAACAAAATAAATATATTGAAAAATATAAAAACAAAAAAAATTATATTTCGGAAGTTAATCCAATATTAAAAACATCCCGACTCAGCATGACACGTGTCCTGACACACAGTCCTCAGAAAAACATCACACAAAACAAGCAAAACTCTTTCTTTTTCATGGGTTTATCTGGAGATGTCAGCCACTTGGGCTATATTCTCCGACGAGCTGAAGCAAAGCACACCACTCATGATGCAAGGTCCTATAGCTCACAATATACAAGAATATAGCTCACGATGGGAAAAAAAGCCTTGTTCAAATACTGGCGCATCCTTAAGTACCCTCTTGATGTGTATGAATCAGAATGTTTTTGATACTAAATTAACTTCCGAATTATAATTTTTTTGTTTTTATAATTTTCAATATGTTTATTTTGTTTGTGCAAAATAAAGAAATAATTTTTAACAATACAATATGGTTGCGCCAGTGCTGCCAGCTAAAATACGCACACCAACAAAAATAATATTGGAGTAGCCCAAGACATAGCCAAATATTGCAGCACCACAGCACTAGCAGAAATTTGAATTTGCCAAGTGGAATGCTTTCAGTTAATCGATGTTTTGGTTGATAGGTATTTGGATAATCGATGCTCTACTGTACACACATAAAATGTATTATTTTAGTAAACATATTCAGATATTTTTCCATGGGTCCTTCATTTGCATATGACACAAATAACTTTTACACAAAATTATAATTGCCAATAATTAATTAAATTTATTTTAATGGTTTAAAATAGTGGTGCCCAAACTATGGTCTTTGGCCCAAATCTGGCCCATGAATACATTTGACATATCACTTATGGTAGAAATAGGACTATTTTTGATATACAGTATATGGAATAACTATAAAAAATATTTGTGGCCTGCCTACCTATAATTTATAAGCAATTTGGCCAACCAATTAAAAACTTTGAACACCATTGATGTAAAACATTAAGCGAAATTATTATTTACTTCTCTCCAAAAATAAACTATTACACAGATAAATTAAATGTGATGTTTGATCATTTATTCACATTTAACTGGTTCTATTTTTCAATTGCACTTTGTTCCATATGACAGATTGCCTGAAGAAGACTATTGAAGGACAAGAGTATTTGTAAGTTTTAAATTTATTTTCTTAATTTTTCATTAATATACTTTTGATATTGTTAGTACATGTTTTACAAAGTTCATTATTCAAGTCAATGCTACTATGCATATGTAGCTAGAACTATTTCTAAGATTATCAGCACAAAAACCTTTCTGACTAATTTCTAGCCTTATTAACTGGAGTACAAACGTTTTCGGCCTTCTTAATAGGCCTTCCTCGGGTACACTGTAGAGCGTCGGTTAGAAGAAGTTTAAATGCTGCCAATGTTTACCCAGATATCGCCTTACCAGTGACGTCATCGTCAATGATAGGTATACGATACCGAGGGCGAAAAATACATGCTTTTGGTAAAGAAGGGAGGTGTGCAGATAGGATACTTGCTAAAGTTGGGGAAAAAGATTTTNTTCAAACATTGTTATAAGCATTTATTAAAAACTTTTATTTTAAAATTAATCTAAATAAAATTTTCTTTATAATTTAGATGCAATACATTACTAAAGTTTATTGAATTTTCAAATAAACTTTTCTATTTGATACAATCACAAAAATTAACTTATTTTTCATATAAAAAATAATTGCTTTTACATGATTCTATTTGAGTCATGTGAAAACTTGCATTAATAAAAATGCATTTTCAAAAACGATTCTGAATATTCATTTTTATTTTTTAAAAGCATTTACTGGATTAGTAGAAATAAAATAAACTAAACTACTAAACATACTGCTCTATGAGAAAGTTGATCTGGTTGAATTAAAGCTTCAGGTCGACGTGGAAACAATGGAAGTGTTTTCCTGTGCTTAAAACTCTTCCTTCTTTCCCTATATCTGAAATATATTTAATACTAATAATTAAAATGTTAAGTGAGTAAAATAATTACTAAAATTTAATGTATTTGTATAAATTTTAAAATATTAAGATAAATTTTAACAGACCTGCGTGTAGGAATTGGAAGAGAAAGTGAGGCACGAAAAAGAAGTAACTGTTGATGCAGTCTTTGAAAATGCTTATAGCGCTTTTTAATTATCCATTCGAAGTTTCCATGTTGTAAATGAATAACATATCTATAATAAATATTAACCATAGCATCATTACTGTAATCATAATATGAAACTAATTTTCATAATTTATATGTATAAACAAATTCATTTACAATCAAATATATCAGGTTATAAAAGCAATATTTAGATAATTCAATTTTTCTAGAAATGAGTGGGAAAAAATGTTCTAGAATATTTGATGTGAGTTTATAAATAGAGTAACAAGGGATGTTTCATCACATATTTCATTGGAAATAGATGCATCAACAATGTCTGACAATATGAAACTTTCAAAAGAACACATTCATGTGCTGTTGCTCTATCATGTCAAAAGTGGCCACAATGCAATGAAGGTTCGCAATCTTATCTGAAAGGCATTTGACAAGGATAAAGTCAACAGACAGACCTGCTATAATTGGTTCAAGAAATTCAAGGATGAAGCTTTCTTGCTTCAAGATGAACCCCATCTAGGCAATGATTCCGCCACTGATGACAATGTTCTCCTGCAATTGATAGATGATAATCCATGGTTGACCATCAGAAAATTAGCACAACAACTTCAATTGATTGCAAAGACAGAGTTTATGCTAAATAATGTTTAACAGCTGAATGGCATCTAGTGTTGGCTGACTGAACTGCTGTTTAAAATGTGTTGCAAAGACAATAATTGTCTATTTCTGAATGCCGTCTAAACAAACTTCAACAAAATGCTGGTTATTACTTTCTTCTCCATTACTCCCTTCTTTTAGTTGTTGTTCAGCCAATCAAGTTATTCATTTGTGACATCAGAAAAAACTCCAATAAGGTCACTAGCTATCTTCTGAAAGCTTCTGATAACAAAATCTTAAAGCCATCAACAATCATAGTTTGGCAGTTAATGACAAGCCTTTTCCATTTCGATGTTTAATTTTGTTGCCAATAGGATTTAAAATATGAACAAAATTTAAGCCAAATTTGGAATTCATCTTCAGAATAGATTTTTTAAGGAATTATTCTGATCTCATATTATTCTCTCTCTTTGTAATTCTCAAGATAAATAATTTTAAATATATTATTGTTATTATTAATTTTTTTTATTTCCAATAAAAGGTTTTGATAATTATTAAAATTGTCTTGTTTGTTTACAGAACATTCTGACCTGGAGATTAACAATAATGACCCAAAAATGCATTAACATTTTATAACCAACACGATACTTAAACTGTAAATAAAAGCATCTGCTTTAATTATTGTCTTAAGTCTTTGCTCATTTGAATTCAAAATTAGAACATTTAAAACAAATTTAAAGTATTTAATTATATTTTTTCCAATCCAAGTAATTAATTAATGAATAATTTTGTCGATTCATCCCATTTACATTTATCAAAGGAATGATATCCTTTTTTATCTAAACTTTGCAACAAACAAAACAATATGATGACTTTCACTTGAATTAAAATGCTGTCTAAACTTGTGTCGAGTGAGTCTACAAAGTAGGTCAAATTACTGGTTTCTAAATGCTATCTAAACTGCAGCAAGCAAGAAACAGTATCTCTGCAATAAAATTTTTCTGAACTGCAATCTAGACAATCTCTAAACCATCACCGGCATCTAAACGTTGTCTACACAATCAGCCCTTTTGAGTGTTGTGTTAATAAACAATTCAATGACAATACCCATGTGAGAATGACACTTGAGAATTTCTTCAAAGAAAAACCCCAGTCATTGTATGCTCACAAGATTGAAAGTTTGTATAAAAGATGGCAAGATATGATTGATATTAATGATGACTACAAGACTTAACTGTAATCATTGTCAATAAAGATTTTTTTCAAAATGTTTAAATTTTACCTTTACAACCTATCAATAACTAAAGAACATCAAGTTATACAACAAAGATAATAAAATTAAAATAATAAAAATTAAAAATAAAATAATAAAATTTAACATTTGAAAAAAATTTTGTGACTATGGATAAATATATTAGTAAAGGTTCCTATCTTTTCTAATAAATTTATCCATAATCTCATTAAGAGAGAACAACAAAGCATTCAATCTTTAAATCATTTATCTGATGATAATACAGGGTGTCCCACTCACTATTGAACCCAGCATTTCTTAAAAAATTTTGCCACTAATGAAGATATTGCAACAAACTTTAATTGTTCGCTATGTGAGAAATAAAATGTGTCTTTAGTGTGGTGCATGCATGTCTATTCAGCCTGACTTGCCTCTGCTGGTCTCATTTCCTTTCTGTCATTTTGTTGAGAGTGTCTACATAATACAGTTGTTGTTAATGAGTGTTAGCGTATGCATGCACAGGATAGTTGAAAAATGTATCAGTATACTTTTGAGCAGTGAGTGTTTATTGTTTGCATTTATTGAAAAACAGAATTGATAAAGTCATGTCAACAGCAATTCTTGAAGAAATTTGGAGGCAGAAGCCATCAAGTAAGTCTAGCATTTGGGCCTTGTCAAAGAAACTTGAAACCAAGATGACTTTATTAAACTAGCATGCAGGAGGTCATCCAAAAATGTCAGAGAAAACAATCCAGAATGTGAAGGACAAACTATTGCCATCTTCCAAAAGTTACTGTGTCAACTTTCACAGTAACTTTTGGAAGATGGCAATAGTTCGTCCTTCACATTCTGGATTGTTTTCTCTGATTCCTGTGTCAACTTTCACAGGAATCAGGATGGTCCACAAGTACTTGTCATCATGCTGTGAAAAAAAAACAAAGCTTTCAGTGTACCATATCTTCATGATAAAAATTAAAAGAGACTGATCAAGAAAAAAGAGTGTCTTACAGTCGATAGTTTCAGACATTTCAGGAAAATCTGGGCATTCTGGACTACATTCTTGGACAAAGTGTGATTTCACATCTTGGGATATGTTAATTTTCAAAATTTACATATTTGGGCAAGCAAAAATTCCAATGCAATACATGAAGAACTCTTTCATTCTGAGAAGATTGATGTTTGGTGTGATGTCCTATCCCACACCAAACATCCTAGAAGTGCATAATTGGTCCCATCTTCTTTGATACAACCATATCAACAACTGTATATATGAAAATCTTCAATACCTTTGTAAATCAATTGAACAACGAGGAACTCTTCATTGGATATTTCCAGCAGGATGAAGCAAGATGCCACACATCACACACCAGTATGGCCAAAATTCAGCCATTTTTCAGTGATTACATCATTTCAAAGGGTCTTTGGCCACTGCAATCTGATGCCTCCTGATTATTTTTTTATGGAGCTATCTGAATGGGAGAATTTACACAAACAAAGCACTAACCATAATTGCCTCGAAAGCAAACATCAATGAAGCAATTCTAGCAGTGACAGCAGATGTACTGGCAAGAATATTTCAAAATATGGTGAATGGTAATATTTTCCTATATTAATATGAAGGTAAATATAAACTTAACTCTAATTTAGTATTGATTATTTTTCTTTCAATATTTGAAGATCTCATATCATTTACTTTACAATCCAAGTACTGTACATACATTTGATAAAATCTAAAGTCAGAAATTTATTTTTGTCACAAATATGTTCAGACTTCCTTTTAAAACATAGCAAACTGAATGTCTAATCTAATATCCTAATGTTAGATTAAATGACAAACATTCCTGACAAAATAAAATTATTTTTATATACTTAAATCTGTTTAGTTTTTCTGAATTCATACAGTTATCAGGTGGTTATCATGTAATATTCAGGAATTCATGTTTTAATCAATTTAATATTAAACTTCATAATAATATTATTATTTATCATATGGCATGAATACATTGGAATTATAATAAAATTAGTACAATAACCACAGTATGAAGTATTTTTTGTGATGTCGTTTGTTAGTATACAAATTTAATTATAGTTTAGATTGTATAATGTGTTCTGGCAGCCAATCAGTTTCCTGACACTGTAATGCCAGAGATAACTGATAGTTATTTCTGCTTGTCTCCTTGTGTTGCATCCTATGTAGCATTAAATGAACTGGCTGATGAGCTATCAATGTTCCTAATATAAAATTATAATTATTTAAATATAAAAATCTAAAATAACATTCTTTTAACTATATTAACTTTTTTTTAATAAATTTTAAATTCAAATTTTTAAAATTTTGATAGATACTCACAAATTAGGATTCATAATAGATGAGCCAGGAACTCTAAATGCATCTATAATTTTAAGTCGTATTGGCCTATTTGGAATAAGCATAGTCAATCTCAAATCCTCAAATCCAAGGGATGGTGCATGAATGTGAGCAAATGGAATATAGGGTGGGCCTGTGAATTTAAATAAGTATAAAATCAGAAAATGTAATTAATTATTAATGTAATAATTACTTTAGTATCAAAGATAAATATTATGATTTCTTTGAAAGCCTGGTTCAAATATATTATAATATTTTTGAACTAGATACTATTCCATCAACAACTTTAATGATGGATTCATTATTAAAGTTGTTGATGGAATAGAGTAAACAGATTCACTATTAATGTTGATGAAAACTGATAATACATTTTTTAAAACTAAAAAGTATTCAAATTCTGATAGCTTTTGAATAACTTACTTTTACAACAAATGTAAATCATTGTCTTTAATAAAGTACAGTAGAAACACAATTTAATGTTTATCAAGGAATCAATGAAAACATACATTAAAATTGCAGAATATGTAAAATCTAAACATTGTTAAAAAACATACCAGAACATACAAATACACATGTATATGCATTCAAAATGGATAAAGTAAAGAAAAACACTTATTTCCAGTATAAATGCTTCCATGAACACCTTCATTTCATACAATGAAATACAAAGTACAACAATTGGTATCTCTAAACATGTTTTATACAAAGATAATAAACTGTTAATGCTATTTAAAGTAATCAAAGATACTTGTTTGTTTCCTGTTGAGAATTTGATATGTCTTCATCAAAGCAGTTTCTAAGTTTGAAATAAAAAACACATTTTTGTCAATATTAAAGTGACCAATTGGCCTCCTTTAGGAAGGACAGTCCTTCTTTCGTAAGTTCTGTCCACCTACATGTCCTCCTTTTTGATATTTGAAGACTAATCTGTAAATCTCTGTATTCAATTGATGCCAAGCCAATCCATTGTGTGTGATGTGATGTGACGTGTGTAGATCGAGGGGAGCACCGAAGTGATCCAGATCTTGAAGTGGGGTAAGAAAATAAATGAGGATTTCACAGCACGATTCACCAAAAGAAAACAATTTTATATCAATTTTTCGTGCGTATACAAGTTGTCGTGGCTAACATCGACCATTCACTGGTAACAGATTATACAAGGGGTAACACTTCCCAACAATCACAATCAACCACTCATTATTCGCGAATAGCGATATTAATAAGTTTCACAATCTATTACACAGAGGACCTAATTTGTCGATCTGCCTGTGCAATAATCTGAATAGGGCAGTTTCCTTGGCACGCTGATGACAATTCGGGTGATGATCACATGGAAACAAAAAAATGTTTATTATCACCGAAATAATGTAACACTTGCTACTAATCAGCAAGGGTCCTTTCACCACTCTTGGATATATCGTTCCTCGTTACTTCCTGACTCCAATGCAATTCGATTCCTTACTTGCTTCCATACGATTATTCCGAATAGCCACTTGTTCACAATTGTATCAAACCCCTTACCTCCTTTGTGTTGTCGCTGTTCTCCTCCCAAACCAGTTCAGGGTAGCCCCGAAGGAAAACCAAAAAGTCCCCCTCCTTGTCGGGTCACCCTTTTATACCCTCACATGTTCACTCCTCCCTTCATCTAACACGCGGTCACCTTATCGCCCAATCAGAGGTCCGACAATTACCACCATAAGGTGGCATGCGACACGAAGATAGATTGACATCGACACGTCACAACATAAAAAAAAAGAGAACCCGACACATATAATAAACTTATAGAATAGATAAAAAGTATTATTTACAATACAACGAGTGCATAGCACTACACATGTTTGCATTTGACATGATGACTCATACAGTGTAGCACGATGCAGTTATGAGACACATGGAAGACCTTGAGAGAGCGTGCTACATACAAGTGTCTTTGTTTACTTTTTACCAAAACACGACACAGCACATATGCATGCAGTAGAGATTATTTTAGTGTATTATTGTTGCAATGAATAAAATGTTTCTTTTTTTACGATATTTTTTCCTTTAATTTATTTGTGTCCTTTTCATTGTAAAAAAGTTAGTCACCTTACGAATATCATCCAAACATGAAATATAGTACATTTCTTTATTTACAAGAATTAGTATTTGAGGTGAAAATTCATCTAGGGATCAATTTTTCAATGCATTAAATCCCAAAAATTTGCAAAGTGAAAGAACTAAATTAGTTGAATACCGAAGATGTTAACATTGTGGTTTATGAAAATTTGAAAGGACCAATGAAAAAATATGTTAAATCAGAGAACATTAAATTGAGTTTCTATTATACAAATAAATGAAATACTAGAATTTATGGGTCATTTTTATACTATAATTTAATTAAATTTTGTTCTACAGATAAGTGATACTGCCATCCTTACAATAAATTTAATGATTAGAGTTAACAATGTAAAAAATGCTTGTAAGAAAAGGCTAACTTGGAAAGGAACTTGAAATCATTACTACTAGAAGTTAAGCAGGTTAACAGTTATGTCATCCAGATTGATCCAATCTTTGCCTCCAGAAATATATAAATATAAACACACACACATTCCTCAAACATGAAATTGCAACATCACAAAGGAATGCATGTAGCCACATGAAAATTGCAGGACCAGTAGAGGTGACAGATATATACAAATGATTCAGTTTCTGTACACATTGGATCATGTAGTACTATGTTTCAGGCTATAAAGACCAGCAGCTGGCTCAGACTGTAAATGCTATCAGCAACAATTCACAGCAGCCAAACTTTCAAAGAAGCATAGAAAATGCATCAAAAATGACAGCCAGCTGAATACCACCAGTTAACAACTGGAGAATGAGACTGTATCCTGGAACTGTGAGATCTCAGTTTGTAGTTGCATACAGTTGTCACACATGTTGGATATGACGTGAGTACCATCCAGCAATGTATGACACGATGGATGCAGGAACATCTGCAAACATACTGAAGAGGGAATGGATCGTAATGGTACACAACAGAGTGCAAAGACAGGCAGATTTGCCAAACAGCCCATTGGGCCCTGTGACAGCACGTGACATCTGAAGCCACTTGTCTCTGTCAACGGGTGCATATGTGTCCACTCAAACCAAACACAGCAGGTTGCATAAAGTTGAACTGCATTCACAGTAACCAGCAACAGAGGTGCTATTAACTACTTCACACAGGGTTACATGCCTGGCATGGTGTTGTCATCATTGCAATTAGATCATTGAATGACATTGAGTATTATTTATGGATGAATCCTGCCTCTGTCTGCAGATGAATNTAGATAGAAGATGATCCGCTTTAGTTCATTTTCACAGAAAAGCATAATGCCTCACAGAAAAGCAAACTTAGGGCGTCGTACTCATAGCGCCATCTGTTAGACATAAAAGCCTAAACCTAGATGATATCTTTTAATTTATATGAATGTTTAACGGAATAATATACAGCCTATGTCAACCCTGAGGTTCCATTATAAATATTGGTGAAAGAATTTTTGAGATCGGATGAGTAGTTTCGGAGATTACCTGCTGCAAACAAACTTACATACATACTTACAAACATTACCTCTTTATAATATTAGTATAGATATTAACACACACACACTCCTCAAACATGAAATTGCAACATCACAAAGGAATGCATGTAGCCACATGAAAATTGCAGGACCGACAGAAGTGACAGCGATATACAAATGATTCAGTTTCTGTACACATTGGATCATGTAGTACTATGTTTCAGGCTATAAAGACCAGCAGCTGGCTCGGACTGTAAATGCTATCAGCAACAATTCTCACCAGCCAAACTTTCAAAGAAGCATAGAAAATGCATCAAAGATGACAGCCAGCTGAATAACACCAGTTAACAACTGGGGAATGAGACTGTATCCTGGAGCTGTGAGATCTCAGTTTGTAGTTGCATACAGTTGTCACACATGTTGGGTGTGACGTGAGTACCATCCAGCAATGTATGACACGATGGATGCAGGAACATCTGCAAACATACTGAAGAGGGAATGGATCGTAATGGTACACAACAGAGTGCAGAGAGACGCAATTTGCAAAACAGTCGAATGGGCCCTGTTTGCCACAGCACGTGACATCTGAAGCCACTTGTCTCTGTTAACGGGTGCATATGTGTCCACTCAAACCAAACACAGCAGGTTGCATAAAGTTGAACTGCATTCACAGCAACCAGCAACAGAGGTGCTATTAACCACTTCACACAGGGCTACACACCTGACATGGTGTCGTCATCATTGCAATTAGATCATTGAATGACATTGGTATTATTTATGGATGAATCCTGCCTCTGTCTGCGGATGAATCCTGATGGCTGTGACATTATCCTGGAGAATGCTAAGTGCCAAGCATCACATTGGCCCCATACTGGGAATCATGATTTGTGGAGGAATTATGTTCAATCAGTGGACAGTCCTGGTGCACATTTTTAGTAATCTGACATTAGAACAATATGTTGCACAAATTGTGGGGCCTATGGTTTGGTCACTGGTGCAGGCTGCACCCAACAGTGTTCCAGTAAGATAATGCCCAACTGCACATTGCATGGAGAACTTTCACCAGCCTGAATAGAATTCACATCCTTCCCTGACCAGCAGCCTTGCCGGATCTCTCTCCCATCAAACATCTGCAGGACCTCATCCAAAGTGAGGTGCACCAGGGACCACCATCACATGCCGTAGATGACATGCATACTGCAGTGGACACAACTTGGAAGGATACCTCAGGCCACCATTAATCACCTCATTGATAGTATGCCTTGCTGTATAGCAGGCTATATAGTTGCCCTTGGGGGGCCATATTCATTACTGAATAAACAGGTGTCTGTTACATATCTTTGTTTGTTCTTTCAATCATTTGCATATCTTTTTACCTCTACCAGTCCTGCAATGTGCATGTGGCTATTCATGGTGTTTCCTTCATTGTGTTTCAATTTGACTTTTGAGGTGTGTATGTATATGTATATATGTGTGTGTATATATTTATAATAAAGTGAAATGAAAAACATAGATGTTAATAAAGATAGTTAAAATATATTATAAAATAAAGACAATTGACATATGATACAAAAGATATTGTGTAACCACA